GGGGGGGGGGGGGGGTTCTTTTTTTTTTTTTTTTTTTTTTGGGTAGCCTGCATTTCTCTCTCTCGCCATCAAGAGAAGGAAAGGGCTGAAGCAGCTGTCACTTAACATGTGAATGTTTTGAGGACGGCCTCGGGGGTCTTTAGAAAACTCCCTTTTTTATTTTTGCCCCCCCCCCGCAATCCCATTTTTCAAGCAAAAAGCAGCATGGAGTTTCTGAGCCTTAGTCAGACACAGAGGAGGGGCTTTTGTTGGATGGGAACCGGGGGTGGAAAAGGGAGAGTTTGGGAGGGGGAAAAAAAAAAAAAAAACTTGAGAAGGTAAAGAGGGCACTTTGCTGCCTAGCCGGCTGGTACAGGAGCAACCTGAGCAGCAGCTCTGGGTGAGAATGGTACCGGGTACAATCTAACCTCTTTGTAAAAAGAAAAAAAAAAAAAAAAAACTTCTCTTGGCCAGGAGCTGTGGGAGTTCAGCTGAGCCGTTGGAATACATTGTCTCCTTCTGGGTGCCCTATCCCATCGGCGGCTCTAACAGGGGAAGGAATTCCTCTATCACGGCTCCCACAACAAAGAAGAAAGGGAGAGGAGCAGGGAGAGCTGGTGGGAGGAGAAGTGAAGTGAAAGGAGGGGAGGGGAGCACGGACCGGGGTTGGTGGGGGGGGAGAGAGAGAGGAGGACATTGTTTGTCCGTGGCTGTGGGCAACGGGAAAAGCAGGAGTTTATCGGGGCATGTGCGAGCGTGTTTGGAAAGTGTGTTTGTACGTCGAGCCGTGGTTTAATGAGTGGAACCTGACTGACTGTGAGTCGGACGGGAGCATGCGCGCGGACGTGTTTGAGGAAGCTTCAGTTTGGGATGTTGGGGCTTGGAGGCCGTTCAAAGGATGCTCAAACAAAGACGTTTTCTTTTTTTTTTCTTCTTTCTCTCTCTCACCCTTTTGAATGGTGACTGAGGGCCAGCCGGATTCCTTGACTCATGCCGTTGGGGTCTGCTCTGCTTTTTGGGTAAGTGTAATTTCATGTGGGTTTCTAACCGCCAAAACTGCCAAAATGTACCCAGGTCCGACACAGAGAGGGACTGCTCCAGGCATTATCGGTCAGTTAAATTAAGGAAAGTAAGTTTTTACTTCAACATTTATTTTAACTGCATAAAATATTTAATCTGAAGATAAAATTCTCCATTTGTAACTACATATATGTGAATGGGACATTCAATTGTGAGTATTTTAATTTACTTTTTTTTGTCTTATATTCAACAGTTTGTATTGACAATTGTGTTTTGTCATTAGGTTTTCTTCCTTAAATTAGGTTTTCATTTTGCCAACAAACTTGTAAAAAAAAACAAAACAGTAATTTCATTAAGACAATCTAAGATGTGATTTTCACAGTGCTGTTTGAATGGAACACCTGACCTTTATATATATCCACCTTTAATGTTATGAGTCTCATGGGAAAATGCACAGCTGCCATCTTTGATTAGGAACCACTCCAGTGATTACTACTTCAAGACCTCCTTTAAGATAAAACCAACAGACAGCTGCATAGCAACATTACGGGTCTTTCTACTGTCATTGTTCTGCGTCTGGCTGTAAATCCAACAGTTTATGTTTTTGAGCCGTTAGACTGACTAAATTAGAAACATGTAAGACATTAGGGATTACACAGATACCCATTTGTGGCTTATTGTTTGGCCAAATTATCTACTCTGGCCGACATAAACATAAAACCGAAACATGCTGTTTATTTAATTTGCATTTACAACTGACATTGTTTTCAATTTTATCTTGTTATGCTTTGGAGAAAATCTCATAATGTTGGCCTTAATCTCATTAATTCCTTAATGGACTGCAGTCATAAATCAAAGCTGAAAGCAGAGAAACCTAATAGAGAGCCGTTTCTCTGTAGGTTAAGTGATGGAATGGTTTGGTCATGTACTATATGATGGAACCACTGAAATGGGTTCCTTCATTATCTTTCTAACGTCATTATGTAGAAGGTGAGAAACATTTCAGAATCAGACTTGAGGCTTAATGACGGAGTTTGTCTTGTTTTCATTGAACAAAACAAATGTAGGTCAAAGTGTTGTTACTGGATATGCCTTATTGTGATTGAACAAACCTTCCTCTTTACCGTCTCTGAAGTCCTTTCATTGTACGGTAGAGTGGAAGTAAGCATAGTCATAATAGCATCCCAACGTTCCTCACACAATTAAACAGTTAGCACATCTTAATACGTACTGTGTTCTCACCGAAGAACAAATGAGTAATTTAGCAGACGACCACACATGTGGCGCAGTAACCAGAAGCTGCACACCCTCTCTCTGATGAGCTGGTGACCCATGTGGGACACAGCCTGACATCCACTGCTCTCCTCAGGAGACTGCTGGGTGGGGATCTGAGCTAACTAAGTAATCATTGATCTTGAGGCTAAGGCTTTTGTCTGGGCATCACTCTGATCCGACTGTGTTGCTCCCCCGTGGACCCCGGGACGGCGTCATCTGCTCAGCAGAGACGGGCATAATGCAGGCAATTACCAATGCACATCGAGTCATCATATCAAAGTAGGTCATCTTTAAATTCTTGCCTCATGAAAAAATGCACATTAATGTGTTTGAATGATTGAAAATGTTCGGGTTTAAATGTTACTTGGTGAGACTTTCTCTTGGCCAAGAGAAAGTCTTGGCATCATTTCTTTGTTGCTGTTCTGCAGATTCAGCATGATTTCATTTCCCTGCAAGGTAAGGCGAGGCAGGCAAGACGAGTTTATTTATATCACTTTAATACACAAGAAAATTCCAGTGCTTTGTAGGGAAAATATGAAAAAAAGGATAAGTAAATTACAATGAAAACAAGGTGTAAGGAATAACTCAAATAAAAGCCTCACTTTAGCTGCAGCTAAGAAATTTGCGAATGGATTGATAAAATAATATTTTGACTTTACAGGAAAGGTTCAATAAACTTATTTCTGCAAACCTGCTTTAAGAAACAACAGTTTCTGACCATCGAGTTTCTTATTGACGTATCCTTTTACAAACAAGGAGCTTGTTCAGTGACTTAAGGACCTGTGTTGGTCAGTGCTCTGGCAGCAGCATTTTGGATGAGCTGCAGGTGCCTGATTGGATTTTTACAGAAACAAGAATAGACACCTTTACAATAATCTAACCCACTAAAATCAAAACCACAAGTTGCTAATCTGGTGTCTTGTTTTGGTTCTTTATTCAAGTAATGTCTTTTTAAAACAGTAGTCAGCTTATTTATTTTATAACAACACCTCATTTACTTGAATGCTTTCATTCTTTAGCCTCACTCAACCTTGCTAATCAAACCTAACACTTTTTGGGACCAAAAACAACAACGTTAGACTTTTTTATATGAGGTTGGAAAAAATAATGACCTTCCTCCTAACAGATGTTCTGGACATTCTGACTTAATGACTATCAGTGACAGGGACTGTGGTTATGTGGTGACACAGAAATCAAAAAAAATATTTGTCACCAACATAGGTATGGTATCAGATGTTGACATGCTCCTCAACAGTGCTAGCAGGATAGATTGGTCAGCTCTGGATGTTTCTGATATTGAATAAAAGTGTCGCAAGAACAGAGACCTGAGGGATCCCACCGGTCTTTTTTCCATTTGCTCAGCTTTAGAATTTGAAAATGACAATAAGTAGTCCCAGGCTTCTTTATAAGATATAAACCATAAGCTAAAACATCACTGGATTCCAAGCCACTTTTCCAGTTTATCAATCAGCATGTTTTTATCAGCTGTATGAAAAATGGTCAGTCAGGAATCAGCCTGTAATTACTTATTGTTGAGGCATTCAGCATGACCATCACATGTATCCACACAGCAAAAAATAGGAATCTAAAAACCTCTTGAAAGCTAATATTCTAATTTCCTTTTAGATGATCCCCTTCCATCACCCCCCAACCAGATCATTAGTCACCAGTCATGTCTTCGACTGACCTATGTAGTTCTGAATTGAGCAGTGTAACCTCATCTCAGAGGGAGGACTTTGCTTAAACAGAAACCCTCCCTGTGATCTCCTGATGGGCTCACCTCAGATGATCTTTGTCAGGATAATTGCACTAACCTTTAACCTCTGTCAAAACAATGACGGCACAAAGGTGAGGGAACAGCAAACAGTGTCTTAAGCAGAGTGTTTGTAGAATCATACAAATATTAGCCAAATAATAATGGCTAGTTCAGCGAAAGCACCCATTCACTTGTCGTCCCACAAAGAAAGGAGGGGATGTTTTTATGGCTGTCATATTTCATCAGATCCCCACGGGGTTCCCCAGTGCCGATCCAAGTTGAGTTACAGAGAGCGTTGGCAGGTTGCCACTGCTTTGTCTGTGCCAGCCTCAACACTGTGATCCTCCACAAGGCTGTCACAGCGATTCTCAAGCGCAGAATTTTTTTCAGTTGTTGATGCGAGATAGCTGGGAGAATGTGCAGACAGAAAATAGGAAAGGGCAGAGGAAAAATCAAGGCCACCAAGCATTTTTAGTTCTCTCTTGTCGTTCAGTGCTTTGGTCCCAGGGCAATCCTGGGACCAAACTTTGTTGCATGAAAGCTTTGAGAGCATTTTTTTATAGGTGTGGATTACAACCACAGACTTCAGTTTTAATTGGATTTTAATTGATGGACCACTACATAGCAGGTATATTTTTGGGGATGGGTGTGTATTGTGCTGTAAAGAGCTTTAAGACAATATTTGTTGTGATTTGGTCTCTATATAAATAAACTGACTGGCTGGATTCCAGCTTCCTCCCACCTCATGTCGACGTACCCCTGGGCAAGATACTTATCCCCAAGTTACCTACGGAATTGCTTGTTAGTGTTTGAATGTGTGCTTGTTTGTAAGTGTGACTGAGTGAACGTGGCTCTGGCGTAAACAGCAGTTAGAGTGGTCAGTATTATTAGAAAAGCAATATATGTTCAGTCCATCTACCATATAATGTGTCAAGAAGACAATTTTGAAAGGAAGCCATGAAAGTCCAGTTTGCCACAAGCAAATAGGGGACACAACAAACATGTACATAAAGGTACTATAGGCAGACAAAACTACACTACATTTTGGGGCTACCTAAAAGACGATGGAGCATAAAACCCAGAAAACATCCTCCTCACGATGAATCCTGGATCATGTATTTTTGTCAGCAGAGACAGTGAAGCTGGTCAGAGTTGATGGATATGTGGATGAAACTAAATACAAGACAATCTTGAAAGAAAAACTGTTAAAGGTCAGGGAGGAGGTTCACATTCCAGTATGCCATGCTTTAAGGATGTTTCCTTGTAACAAAAAAAAAATTAAAACTGTCTTCTTTTCCTACTGTTTCACAATTATTGACAACTGTGTTTGTCTTTGACATAAAATCCCAACAGAAAACTTTGTACTGTAACATGTCCGAATATGCAAATGTTTAATGAGGTATAAATGCTTTTGCAAAGCATTGTACGAACATAATGACCAATGCTGAGCCCCCTTGTTTTATTTTAGGTAGCTGAAGGATCATCTGCATGAATGGCCAAGGGGCCTGACTTCACCTATTGCCTCAATAGCCTGTGGGCTGAAGGATTATGGGTAATCTCATCAGCAGGCCCAGTTGTCTGGGCCAGAAGTCCAAGCATGTTAGGACTGATGAAGGCTTCCTGAAGGAGTGCTACCAAAGACGAAAGGAGTGGCCGCCCCCCGAACAAGATGGGGTGGTCAAAAGGGACGAGGGTTCCAGGGATAAACTCGGAGAGAATGGAAACAAGGAAAAAGAGGTGGAAAAAGAAAGTGGGGTTGATAAATTTGACCATAAGAGGGAGGAGGGTGCTCAAACGCCTATCTCAGACAAACCCCTACAAAACTCCCCTGCCTCCACAATCAGAAGTAGCAGTACCCTGGAAAATGCCTGGCATAGCAGCCCGTCTTCGATCAAAACATCCCGAAATGGAACACTAACAAGAAGGACGTTGCCTCCGGAGTTCGCTAGATCTCCCCTTGCTCACAACGACTTGACGGCTGCAGAAAGGAGGGCCAGCTTCCAGAGGAGAGACTCCAGAGAAGGAAGCCCCTGGTCATGGAAGACTCTTGCATCACGCGAGGTGACCGAAGTCACCGAGGTGACAGAGACGACCGTGACTGAGATCGTGGAGGTGACGGAGTATCCGCCAGGAGATAAAGGAGGCAACCCCATAGTCACCAGAACCGTTAGAGTCCTGAACGGTGTAGCAGAGGAGCTTGCCGAGGTTGAGACGCTGCTTTTCAAACTTGACGATTTGTATCTGTCCGTCATTTCAGCCTTTCCTTTCTTTCCATCACCCTTTCAGCTTTAATTTCTTGCTGTCATCTCTCTATTTAGAGCAGTAGCTTGTGGTTGTCGCAGTGTGATTCCGTTTCAGTGGTAACGTTTTATAAACTGATACATCACGTGGACTTGCTTTATTTCGCAGCTCCAGAGTGATGGGCAGTCAAGTTCAGACCAAGATTCCAGTTTGGACAGGTGGCGGGTATGCTTTAAACTTTTGGATTGTCAACAATTAAACTCGTAACGTTTAATTGATGTTTACCTAAACTATGATTCTTTGCATCCTCATAGGGAACTAAATCTCCGTTGGCACTCAGGGATGCTTCCACAAATTCTGAAATGTTTCTTCAGAATCTGGATGCTTTGGTTACATGGGTCGGTGAGATAGGGGAGCTCACAGCCAATCAGAAACCTCCATCCTCAGAGGTCAAAGTGGTGAAGGCACAGCTTCAAGAACAGAAGGTTTGACATTCAGAGCACTACATCACCTGCTTTCTTTTTCAAGAAATGTTTCTGATATTCTAAAACAGGTAGAATAAAAATGAACGATTAAAGTATGGAAGGGTTTCCTTTGTGAAATAACCTCTGCTCTGTTCAGTGGTGAACAGGTGGCGTTCTACACAACAATGAGCTTCAGTTAGTCTTTGTGAAAATGCCTGTGGGCTATGAGAAACATGTCCTCTTTAGAGGGGATGAAACCAGTCAGGACAATGTAAGCTTGTAACATGAGACAAATCTCAGTGTACCTAATGGAAATGAGGTTGAAAGTGTAGGGTTGTGACAGGTGTTAACCCCCGGTGTTTCTTCTTAGGCATCAATGTGCAAGTGTAGCTTCTGCACGATAATATTTGTACGTTTTTAATGTTGTGAATAAAGATGTGTGTTTAAAACCGGAGATATTTTATGGTTTCACAGCTCCTGCTGCGCCTCCTGACAGACCGAAGGCGTAGCATGGACTCTGTGATGGTCGAGGGTCCTCGGCTGGTGGAGGCCCACCCGGGAGAAGAGGGGGAGCGGGCAAAGGTCAAGCTCGCCACTCTTCAACAGAAGTGGGAGGCCCTGCAGCTGGAGGCAGAGAAAAGGTCCGACACTTTTAGTGGTAATGCGTCACTTCATTTGTGTTGTATCGTTCTCCGCAAACCTTGCTGATTAATTATCAAACCATTGGTAGGAGGGAATGTCTGGAGCTCATTCTGCCCAAAGCCCAGCAGTTCCAGGAAGAGGTAGACGGCCTGCAGCAGTGGTTCATTTCTGTAGAACAGACGCTGGCCGAGCTGAGAAACGCCGAGAGAGTGATGCTGCATCTGTCGGACGCCACAGAGAAGGCCAAGGTGAGTGACCTACCATGTGCACTCATTAACCATAATGCTGTGGTTTAATCAGCTGTCAGTGGTCATAAGTGAAAACAGCAAAACAGATGTTCAACATTATAATTATGTGTTTTCGGTACAAAAATAAAGCTAACTCAGAAATATTAATTGTTTTTTAGGATATTTTTGAAGAGATTCAAGTCCAAATGGCTGAACTTGGAAAAGTAAAGATGTCAGGTCAAGTTTTAAAGGAAGCCGTTTCAGGTAAGATGTACTGTACACCATAATATTATTTAATCTCTGGGAACTTATGCTTTTGAAGAAATTTTGTTAAAGTCCATCCATCCATCTGTCCATCTATTCAGCTATTCATCTTCCATAAAACATAAAAAAATGGTGCCTAAGAGGGATTCTGATCATTTGGATGCAGAACAGCATTACCCCTACTTCAAACTGCTCCCAGATAAATACTTTAGTCTCCATATCTCCAAGGCTGTATTGTTTACACTAAATTATGTTCAATTTAGAATTGTACAATTTAGTTGCTGCTGAAACAAGATCCACTGGATCGGACAAAGTTTTTTCAGTCTATTATTGTCTAAATTTGTGCAAATCGTAGCTCGAGTTTCTGGAGCTTCAAGAGTGGAATCCATTGCTGCAGCTCGTCTATCACAAGGGTTTGACATGTCATTCATACATGGATGTTCTTCAGCATACCTTGATTGTAACGAGTAGTTCTTAGAATTATTATTGCCTTTAAGTCATCTCAGACCAGTCTGCTCATATTTTCTGGCCTCTGACAGAATTTTCATTCCTACAACTACAATGTCTCTTTTCTGAAACATTTTGCCAAAACCTGATAGATGATTGTGTGTGAAAATCCATTAAGTAAAATTTTCAAATACTATACCATCTCTTCTTGTACTTGTACCAACAACAATTACACGTTCTCACGATTCCCTTTCTTTTCCATTTTGATGTTTGCCTTGAATTTAAGCAAGATGGCTGCTCAATGCCTAAATGTACTGAACTGTTATCGCATGTGAGACTATTATGCAATTAGCCGCAACCATTAGGTGAGCCATGTAATTATTATTTGCCCATGTTTTGTGATTTTACTGTCATTTCAGCGGAGGAAGCCCAGCAGGTGCAGGAGAAGATGGATGCACTGCGTATCCGTTGCTCTGTGCTAAACCTAAGCAGCATGGATGTGCTGCAGAGGCTGGAGCAGGCCCTGGAAGCATCCAGCCGCTGCACTTCAAGCCAGGAGGACCTCCACCTGTGGCTGGGCCGCATCGAGAGGGAGTTGCTGGGAGCAGCAGGAGCAGCAGGAGCACAGACGCACGTAGGAGATGCAGTACTGTGTGCAGCTGAGAGACAGAGGGTGAGTTTTCCGTTGACAAGAACGGAAACAAGATGTATTTGGATACAGGAGCACCGCTGTTTTCAGTCAGTGAGCGTCTGTACACGTCATGTGGAACAAAACAGGTGTGATAAAATAATTTTTCAGTTTCACAAACCATCTTAACTTCTATATCTACAGAGTGCTCTGCATATAAAAGCATACAAAAATGCACTCACACTCACAATAAAGGCATTTTTTAAAAATGAAATTACATTTTTAGTGAACTAAACAGTGGGGATAAAAACAAGAAGAAAGACAACATGATAGTTCAAGATATAAAAACCCAGGAATTCAGTGAAAAATCACTTTGCTTACATGGTTAAATAGGGCTAATACAGTATGGCAGTCACTTTGGTGATCTGTGGGTTTGTTTTGGCTCACATGTTGTCACATGATGCCCTTCCTGATACAACTCCTATCCATTTATGTGGGGTTGAGACCGGCACTGAAGGAACAGGGAACGCTCCCCCTCCAGTGGTTTACAGTGTTTATATGGTTAATAAACAATTAAAATGAGTGGTAGGCTAGTCAGAGCTGGCAGGCTATGCTTTTCTCGTACTTTTTGAATTTCTCATTGCTTTGCAACCCGGCTCCATCGATCTGATGGAAATAATTTCTTCTAAGTTATTTCTTAACCACAATCAAGTACTTCTACAATAATTGAAAGAGGTATTGATGTCTACTTTATTGTGGGATTCTTTAATTTTTTTTTTATTATTTTTTTTACAGTGTGTATTTGAAATAATTCTAAAACAGCTCCTCTACATTTTTAAAGTCAATGATGCGATTGACATGCCAACATCTGGTTGTGTTTTCCAGTTGGAACAGGCTGTGGTGAAGGAGATGGCGTGGTTCAAAGACACCTCACACAATCTCGACAAGCTTAAAACAATTAACCTGGACCCAAAGATCATAGCAGAACAACTCAACGAACAGAAGGTCAGAACAACGTGCAACTCGTCAAATAAATGCATTTGGTCAAACTGAGTACACAGAGAATGTTTAGGAATTGTATTTAAAATAAAACAAAATATGTCATTTGATTTAGATTTTAGCAGTAGAGATACTTCAGCACAAATTCAACATTGAGAAGATGGTGAAGGTCGCTGAAATTTTGATGACTTACAGTGACGAAGGAGCAGCTGGAGATCTACAGGTAAAACCGCGATTTCATTTCATGATGACATATATATATATATATATATATATATATATATATATATAGATAGATATATAGATAGATAGATAGATAGATAGATATCCTGTTTCAATAGAAAGTGAAGATAAACATTGTTCAATCTCTATTCAGACGCCACTGGAAGCCTTACAGGAACACTGCAACACCACCTCAGCCACCAATGCCCATGTGGTCCTGCAGCTGGAGCATGCCCAGTTGCTTCTGGCCCAGTTCTCTGAGGGCCTGGTCGAGGTGTCGCCTTGGCTGGACGAAACCCAGAAGCTCATTGGCCAGCTCTCCCTGAGCACAATTAGCTATGAAGCATTCCGGGAACAACAGGACCTCTTACAGGTAGAAGAGACCTGCGCACTTGAATAGACCTGGTCTACAAAGAAGCCCTTTTATTCTTCGGATGCCAACACCTTTCGTTGGTCAAATGAGCCGATTTGCCAAAGCCCCATTCATTGATGTAATCTACTTAATAAGAGGGTATCGGTTACCCTGATGTACAATAATCACAGTTTTTCTGTGATTGAAAATTAGGCCGAATGTGTTTTCTCCTCATTTTCTTCCTATTTTAGAGGTTTGTTTCAATCAGTTTATTCTATGTGCAAAGAATCTGTTCTCAAACCTTTGTTTTCTTGCTTTGCAAAGGGTCTCAGAGAATCGATAGCAGAACACCGACCTCTGATTGCGCGCCTGTGCGTCCTAGCCAAGCGCTTGTCAGAACTGAACCCCGCTCAGGGTGAGCAATTCTCTCTGAAGGCGACAGCGGCCGAGGAGCAACACAATGCCATCAGGGAGCGCGTTCGAGAAACCGCCGGTCTCCTTGAGGAGTCCTTACCCCGATTCACACAAGTAAGAAGGCTTTTCGTCTGACACTTTGTGAATTTTTCCACAAGAACGCGGCTTCACGTCTGCTTTCAATCATGTAGCTGAATGAGAGGATGACCCTTATCAGAGAGAGTCTCGACCGTCTGCGCAGTCGCATCCAGACACCCACCTCTCTACAAGGTCTCACACCAAGGATCCAGGAACAGCTCCAAGACAACAAGCAAACCCTTACTGAGCTGTCCAAGCTGGAGCTGGGTCTCCACAGTGTCAAAGGCCAGGCAGACGAACTGCTGGCCAACACTCAGGCGGCAGGGGACAATTCAATTGGCACAAGTAACTCTCTTCTCAGACACTACAACCCCAGAGTGCTTTATAGCTGTGCAAAGAGTAACACCTTTGTGATATCTGTGCTTTTTAGCGATTCAGGGTCAAGTATCCAGCCTGTCCCAGATGTGGGATGAGACTTCCAAGCAGGCTCAGGAGAGGGAGAGCTGGTTACTGAAGCTTCTGGATCTTGCCTTGAAGTATTGGAGCGACGTCAGCGAAATGACGAGTGCCCTTAACGATACGCAGCAAGCTATTTTGGATCTCAACGCCTCTCTGACAGACTCTGAAACAATCAGGCAAAGTCTCGGAAGCATGCAGGTCTGTCGTTGAAACCACTTAAACGATAAAAACGTCACTGTTAGAAAACATAATATAACAACTTCCTCGACTTTTAGTCACTCAGGGAGGATATAGATGGCTTGCAAGGAGACCTGGACACTCTTGGTGTTCTTGGAATGGACCTGATGGTAGCATGTGGCGATACAGAGAAACCAGACATCACAAAGAGCATGGATGAAGTAAGAAGGTTTTATTCAGTAGAATCCTTTTCTAACTCTGATTCAGAGTTAAATGAAACCTTTTATTTATTTTGTCATAAAGCTTTATTGCACATGGAACAATTTAAGCAAACTTTGGACCGACTCTCACAAGAAGCTAGAGGACTCCTTGCAGATGGCGCTTCATTATCAAGATACAATGCAGGTCAGTGTTGGAATACAATACACAGAGCTTTTATGTCAAGTAGTGTCTTCCATCTTTAAGTGCAGGTAAATAAACTTGTTTAAAGTTTTGAAATAACATAAGTCATTGTATCACGGACAGGGCCTGTTTGAGTGGTTAAAGTCAGCAGAGTTGAGATCTACAGAGGAGTTTACAGTGGGAACTGACCTGGAAGCAGTCAAAGAGCAGCTATGTGATCTAAAGGTGAGTTCATACATGAACTAAACATGAAATAGCTGAATGTTCTTCCCACGTTTAACCTTTGTTATCTGCCCCAGGAATTTAAGCGAGAGCTGTACCAGAAGAAGATTGAGATGGAGAGCCTGAACCATCGCTTTGTGTGCCGGTTGTCTCCGGGCTCGGAGCGCCCAGGCTCCTTCTCTCCGCTGTGCGACTTCAGACAGAGGTGGGACAGTCTGGAGTCTGAGACAGTGAACAGACAGGTGGGAACTCTGTAATCTAGAAATGTTAATTTTCATTATTGACTAAAATATTACTTTTTTTTCAAGTAATTGGATTTTGCGGTAGATAGCTGACGTTTCTGTGAAACTCATACACCTTCAAGCTACTTTATCAGGTGCACCTTGTTCAATTGCTTGTTTACACAAATACTGACTCAACCAATCACATAAAAGTAGCTTAATGTATTCAGCACTACATAGTAATATAACTATTCACTGTTGTTATTGCTATTGTTCAAACCAAGTATGAAGAGATTTAGGTTAAAGATAAGATTATATATAAGGGTGACGAAAAGAAAAAAATATTGAGTGAGTGGCAACTATTTGGTAAAAAAAAAAACTATTTAATGTCATGCTTTATTTTTATGTTGTTATTGCTATTGTAAACAATTGTTGGTTTTTGTTGGTTTCTTTTCACCTGTGATGGTTGTAATTACATTACTACCATCTCTGAATGTACAACACATCAAATCTTGAAGCAGAATGCCATTAATATTGTCTACAAAACCTGGAACTGAGGCTACAATTAATAAAGCCCCCCACATTGGGTAACATAATTGGAAAAATGTTGCCTGATCCAATGAGTCTCGATTTCAGTGATAAGATTCAGAATTAAGGGTCAGAATTTGATGCAATCTTCACAAAACACGGATTTATTCTGTACAATATCATCAGTTCATGCTGGTGGAGGATCATTAATGGTGTGAGGGACACGTTCTTGGCACACTTTGGGCGTCTTGGCATGAAGTGAACACTGTCTAAACACACCAGTCTAAGTATTAATTCTCAGTGACCACCTTTTATGGCCACAATATGCTTATTTTCTGATGGGAACTTACAACTTGACATTGCATCATATCACAAAGCACAAATCATCTCGAACAAATTTCCTGAACATGACAATGAATTCATTATATCCACCCAATAAAACACCCTAGGGAGGAAAGGAGATGTGCTAACAAATCTGCAGCAACTGCAAGATGCTAAATGTTAAAATGAATCCAAATATCTAAGGAATGTTTCTGACATCTTGCTGAATACATGCCATGAGCCCCTAAGGCTTTCATGAAGTCCAACCCCGTGGTAGCAAGTTGTAACTGGTGAGGTACTTTGTGAATGTATGTTTGGTTTAATGTCACAATTATCAATAATTGTGTGAACATTTTCTATCCATGTTTTGTTCTCAGCATCAGTTAGAGTGTGCTCTGCTGGGTCTGGGCCAGTTTCAAAACACCCTGGACGAGCTGCACACATGGCTTTCCAGAACCTCCGAGCAACTGCATGGCAACCAGCCAATCAGCATGGACCTGCAGACCTGCGAAATAGAGCTGGCTAAGCACAAGGTCTGTGATAGGCTTTTGAATAAAAAAAACGTTTTAAGATCAAGTTTCTCATCTCTTTTGGCCTTCTTTTTGTTTTGTCCTCAAAGGTGTTGCGTAATGATGTCATGTCTCACGTTCGCACCATTGAGTCCCTGAACCAGGCTGGCAGGAAGCTGCTGGAGGCCGGGTCTGGGGACAACACGCACGGTCTGCAGTCTCAGTTGGAGGAAGTGAATGAAAGTTGGGAGTTTGTCCGCTGTGAGACTGAGCGCAGGCAGCTGGAACTAGAAAACAGACTGAGTCAGGTAACGATAGTCTGATTCCCTCTGGTGGCCATTGTCGGTAATGCAACATTTAATTAAAAAAAAATCTTTTTGAAATACTCCCATAAAGGATCTGAGTATTTTAAATGAAAAGATTTCGGAAAAAGTGCAGATGAGCTCAGTGCCACTATTGAACCAACATTCTGCAATTTTTTTTTATATGAATATAATTTTCACTTCATCAATGGAGCTACAATCACAAGCAATCACAAGCTTTGACATAAACTAATTTACTTGTTTTCTCCTTTAAAGTATGTCCTGTTTTATTACAGGTGCAAGATGTTACCATGGAGATCCAGGATCTCATACAGTGGCTGGAGAACACAGACCTGAGGCTGTCCTCTTCTAAAACCACCTGGGGCATGCCAGACTCTGCAAGCGAGAGGCTTAATGCACATTTGGTAGCGCTCATTACAGTATTCATAAATTCAGGGGGTGGGGGGGTTGCTGTCAATGCACAGATTTGTTCTTGAATTAGAATATGTGTTTCTTGAGTGTTTTAAATTGTATTGTCTCCAACAGGATTTGTGTAATGAGATGGAGTCTAAAGTTCAAGCCTACACAAATGTGAGGAATGCCATTCATGGGATGCTGGAGCGAGGGGACCTTGTGCGGGGGTCAAGCACCGAGCACAGTTTATCTATACTTGAACAAAAGTGGACATCTGTTTACAACAAAGTCCAGGAGCGGAAAGTAATTAATCCAATTAAATGTCATGTCATGTCAAGGAAAATTATTTTTTTTAAAGCTGTTGTATCAGGCATATTGGTGCTTGGTAACACTTTCATTGAAGAACAATTCTTTGCATGCAGGCTAAGCTTACGGAAGGACTGAGTCTGGCCAAAGAGTTTCACAGCAGCGTCCAAGAACTGCTAAAAAAGATGAGCGAGTGTGAAGAGTCCATTAAGGATCTCCCTGCTCCAAGTTTCATTCTGGACACAATTTCCACACAGCTTCAAGAACACAAGGTCGCTTTATCAAATATGTCACACTTAGGTTTTTGTCTTTCTTTTCAACGACATGTGTTTGGATTAAAGGCCTGTGTTTTACGGGGACAGATTCTGCTGAATGAGGTCAACGGCTACAGCGAGAAGAAGACGTCGGTGGAGAACACAGGATGCAGGCTAACAGAGCTGAGCAGGAAGGAAGACTGCGACGTCATCCATAATTTGATACTGACGGTTCAGGATCGACACAAGAAGCTCCTGCAGCGAACGTCAGAGAGAGGCAGGACGCTGGAGGACGTTAAGAAACACATCAAGCAGGTAATAGAAGATATGAAAACAACACAAACACATTAAAAAAATGGCACTTAGAAAAAGACTGGCATGCATTCTTCCCTTTTTTCTGTGATGTTCAGTTTACTGAATCTTGGCGCCTCCTTGTGGACTGGATGACTGAGGTTGAACAAACGTTGGACACGCATAAGGAGATTGGAGCGTCCCATGAGGAGATAAAGCAGCAACTAGTAGAGCAGAAGGTATGAGGTTCACTGTGGTGAAAAAAGGATAACAAATTAATAGAAAACAGGAACTAAACAATTTAATTTAAAGCAAAAAACAACTATTATTCCCACTGTAAATTAAATGACATTGAATATCTTAAGGAAGCTCATGATTCGATAATAAATCTCACAAGAAAATAATAAACACAAGTAGGCTTGTCGCAATAAATAATAAATCATATTTATAGATAAGTGTGTGCTCTAAATTTGTAAAAGAACTGAGTACGCCTCAGTTTCTAAGTAATAATCCTGTTCTGGAAGAATGTTTTCTGGATTCTATCTTCGTTCTAATTCTTTTTATGGGTTGCAATAATAGGAGTCTCTCTGCATCTAAACAGTGAGCACTCTACAGTTTCTAAAATATAAGCTAAAGAGTGACTAATGAACTAGAGTCTGTGGATTCCAAGTTTGTTCTAATTCCTTTTCTGGGTTAAAAGTGAGTACTCCACAGTTTCTCAGCCTCCTGGCAGAAGTCCGATAAAGGTGTCGTTATCAAGGAATGTCCTTGGGAGCGCTCAGCTCCATGGATAACAGGAGGGGGTGAGGTGGGAAGGAGCGTTA